CTGAACGCAGCAGACAGTCTGTCCCTGAACGCAGCAGCAGACAGTCTGTCCCTGAACGCAGCAGCAGACAGTCTGTCCCTGAACGCAGCAGACAGTCTGTTCCTGAACGCAGCAGACAGTCTGTCCCTGAACGCAGCAGCAGACAGTCTGTCCCTGAACGCAGCACACAGTCTGTCCCTGTACGCAGCAGCAGACAGTCTGTTCCTGAACGCAGCAGACAGTCTGTCCCTGAACGCAGCAGCAGACAGTCTGTCCCTGAACGCAGCAGACAGTCTGTCCCTGAACGCAGCAGACAGTCTGTCCCTGAACGCAGCACACAGTCTGTCCCTGAACGCAGCAGACAGTCTGTCCCTGAACGCAGCAGACAGTCTGTCCCTGAACGCAGCAGACAGTCTGTCCCTGAACGCAGCAGACAGTCTGTCCCTGAACGCAGCATACAGTCTGTCCCTGAACGCAGCACACAGTCTGTCCCTGAACGCAGCACACAGTCTGTCCCTGAACGCAGCAGCAGACAGTCTGTCCCTGAACGCAGCAGACAGTCTGTCCCTGTACGCAGCACACAGTCTGTCCCTGAACGCAGCACACAGTCTGTCCCTGAACGCAGCACACAGTCTGTCCCTGAACGCAGCACACAGTCTGTCCCTGAACGCAGCACACAGTCTGTCCCTGAACGCAGCAGCAGACAGTCTGTCCCTGAACGCAGCAGACAGTCTGTCCCTGTACGCAGCACACAGTCTGTCCCTGAACGCAGCAGCACACAGTCTGTCCCTGAACGCAGCAGACAGTCTGTCCCTGAACGCAGCAGACAGTCTGTCCCTGAACGCAGCAGACAGTCTGTCCCTGAACGCAGCATACAGTCTGTCCCTGAACGCAGCACACAGTCTGTCCCTGAACGCAGCACACAGTCTGTCCCTGAACGCAGCAGACAGTCTGTCCCTGAACGCAGCAGACAGTCTGTCCCTGAACGCAGCAGACAGTCTGTTCCTGAACGCAGCAGACAGTCTGTCCCTGAACGCAGCATACAGTCTGTCCCTGAACGCAGCATACAGTCTGTCCCTGAACGCAGCATACAGTCTGTCCCTGAACGCAGCATACAGTCTGTCCCTGAACGCAGCAGCAGACAGTCTGTCCCTGAACGCAGCAGACAGTCTGTCCCTGAACGCAGCACACAGTCTGTCCCTGAACGCAGCACACAGTCTGTCCCTGAACGCAGCAGCAGACAGTCTGTCCCTGAACGCAGCAGACAGTCTGTCCCTGAACGCAGCATACAGTCTGTCCCTGAACGCAGCAGACAGTCTGTCCCTGAACGCAGCAGCAGACAGTCTGTCCCTGAACGCAGCAGACAGTCTGTCCCTGAACGCAGCACACAGTCTGTCCCTGAACGCAGCAGCAGACAGTCTGTCCCTGAACGCAGCAGACAGTCTGTCCCTGAACGCAGCATACAGTCTGTCCCTGAACGCAGCAGACAGTCTGTCCCTGAACGCAGCAGCAGACAGTCTGTCCCTGAACGCAGCAGACAGTATGTCCCTGAACGCAGCAGACAGTCTGTCCCTGAACGCAGCATACAGTCTGTCCCTGAACGCAGCAGACAGTCTGTCCCTGAACGCAGCAGCAGACAGTCTGTCCCTGAACGCAGCAGACAGTCTGTCCCTGAACGCAGCACACAGTCTGTCCCTGAACGCAGCACACAGTCTGTCCCTGAACGCAGCACATAGTCTGTCCCTGAACGCAGCATACAGTCTGTCCCTGAACGCAGCAGACAGTCTGTCCCTGAACGCAGCACACAGTCTGTCCCTGAACGCAGCATACAGTCTGTCCCTGAACGCAGCACACAGTCTGTCCCTGAACGCAGCACACAGTCTGTCCCTGAACGCAGCATACAGTCTGTCCCTGAACGCAGCACACAGTCTGTTCCTGAACGCAGCATACAGTCTGTCCCTGAACGCAGCACACAGTCTGTTCCTGAACGCAGCATACAGTCTGTTCCTGAACGCAGCAGCAGACAGTCTGTTCCTGAACGCAGCAGCAGACAGTCTGTCCCTGAACGCAGCAGCAGACAGTCTGTCCCTGAACGCAGCACACAGTCTGTTCCTGAACGCAGCAGCAGACAGTCTGTCCCTGAACGCAGCACACAGTCTGTCCCTGAACGCAGCAGACAGTCTGTCCCTGAACGCAGCAGACAGTCTGTTCCTGAACGCAGCAGCAGACAGTCTGTTCCTGAACGCAGCAGCAGACAGTCTGTCCCTGAACGCAGCAGCAGACAGTCTGTCCCTGAACGCAGCACACAGTCTGTCCCTGAACGCAGCAGACAGTCTGTCCCTGAACGCAGCAGACAGTCTGTCCCTGAACGCAGCATACAGTCTGTCCCTGAACGCAGCAGACAGTCTGTCCCTGAACGCAGCACACAGTCTGTCCCTGAACGCAGCACACAGTCTGTCCCTGAACGCAGCAGACAGTCTGTCCCTGAACGCAGCAGACAGTCTGTCCCTGAACGCAGCAGACAGTCTGTCCCTGAACGCAGCATACAGTCTGTCCCTGAACGCAGCAGACAGTCTGTCCCTGAACGCAGCATACAGTCTGTCCCTGAACGCAGCAGACAGTCTGTCCCTGAACGCAGCAGACAGTCTGTCCCTGAACGCAGCAGACAGTCTGTCCCTGAACGCAGCACACAGTCTGTCCCTGAACACAGCAGCAGACAGTCTGTCCCTGAACGCAGCATACAGTCTGTCCCTGAACGCAGCAGACAGTCTGTCCCTGAACGCAGCACACAGTCTGTCCCTGAACACAGCAGCAGACAGTCTGTCCCTGAACGCAGCACACAGTATGTCCCTGAACGCAGCACACAGTCTGTCCCTGAACACAGCAGCAGACAGTCTGTCCCTGAACGCAGCAGACAGTCTGTCCCTGAACGCAGCACACAGTCTGTCCCTGAACGCAGCAGCAGACAGTCTGTCCCTGAACGCAGCACACAGTCTGTCCCTGAACGCAGCAGCAGACAGTCTGTCCCTGAACGCAGCATACAGTCTGTCCCTGAACGCAGCAGCAGACAGTCTGTCCCTGAACGCAGCACACAGTCTGTCCCTGAACGCAGCAGACAGTCTGTCCCTGAACGCAGCACACAGTCTGTCCCTGAACGCAGCACACAGTCTGTCCCTTTTTTAAAGCTACTGACCCAGAATCAGCACTTTAGTAACAGCTGAAATAGAGAGCTGAGGCTAGAATGATCTGTTTGGTATTTCAAGCAAAACACTTCATAGACATGTTTTTTATTTGTATCTGAGACCTATAATATATGCCTAATAGCCTAATAGAGACCTTTAATGCCCGGCTCGCTGCACATCCCTTACACTTTATATGATATTTATATAGATGTGTTGGTGAGTTTCTTTTTGCATCAGTGTGCAACCTCTCGTCTCCCTCCTCCCCCCTCAGGAGTGTCCAGATTCATTTGAGTGGACGTGTTTAAGCTTGGCTGCATGTATTTGTGGTATTTTGGTAGATTTTAGTGGCTGTGTTCGTAGTTTTTCTGGATGTATTTCAGTGGAAGAATTTGTGGTATTTGTGGATGTATTTTAGTTATAGTTAATTTAGTGGAGGTATTTGTGGATATACTGTATTTGTAGCATTTCTGTAGTGGTGTTGTAGTTTTAAGAATTTGTTGTATTTGTTGACGAATTTTGATTTCATGCCTCTGTTCCGTTTATTTAATGTTTTAGTGCAGGGGTGTCCAAACTACGGCCCGGGGGCCAAATGCCGCCTGCGAGCCATTTTTAATTGGCCTTCATCAGATTGTAAAAGTATATGGAATACGGCCCACAAGTGAAACATGTGCTTGTCTTGGATTGTACTTCTTAAATATATCTCTAAACATATATTACTCTCAGTAGTATTCATGTGTCAATAAGTTCACTTTTCAAATTAATTCAGTCAAATAAAGTTTAAAACTAATCTAAGTTGATAAGAAAAAAGCCCAGTAACTTATTTGTATAACAAGCATAAAATGTACCCTTCATATGTTCTCTTATTATAATCAATCTGAAGCTTCTGTTTTAATGGATGAGCTGCTAACAAAATAAAGTAAACCCTCTGGAGAGCTGGGAGCTGTTTTTTAATAAAGCATTTTCAAGTATCAAGAATCATTTACCCACATTTGAATGATTTTTCTAACTTCTAACTTAAAGGTCACCTATCATGCTATCTTTAGGCAAAGGATGGGTCTCAGATATATACACATAGCAAAAACATGTCTATGAAGTGTTTTGCTCAAAACACCAAACAGATCATTCTAGCCATGCCTCATATCCCTCTATTTCACTTCCTGTTTCTAAAGTGCTGATTTTATGTATAAAACTTTTAAAAAAAAAAATTATAACAAATAAAAAAGGGGGGGGCGGAGCTTATGCGGGACCCGGCAGCTACTGTCTAAACTAAATGCTGCCGTGATGAAACGCCATATCATGGATCATCAAGGATTCTCTCTGAAACAGTTTGGAGCTCAAAGGCTTTCTCTCTTGCCGGTTATACCACAAGGTGAGTTCCTTTTTACTTCCTGCTTCTTCACACACATGCTCTCCAGTACAGGTTAGCTCTGAGTGTTAGCGATGCTAATGTAAACACCGACCATATTACGTCCAAAACAGTCGGGCATTGTTTCTGATAGCAACGTTTCTGATTGGGCCGTGGGTCCACATTTCAGATATTACGTCATATCGGACACAAATCTGGATCAGCTCCGTTGTTCCCCGTTTTTAGAGATTTGGGTACGGAGGAAAAGAGAGAGGGTTTTATTCTCTGACGCTGCGTGAGTTCCCGATACACCGGGGACACATGTTGATGTAGAAGAGACATCACAAAGTGCATTTTGCATGATAGGTCCCCTTTAACTTATGAGGCAATAAACGTCTAGTGAGCGGCCCAGCCCTTCTTATATCTTTCTGTAAGTGGCCCTCGGGGAAGAACACCCCTGTATCAGTGTGTAACCTCTCCTCTCACCCCTCCAGGAGTGCCGCTCCACCCACGACCTCCTGACCTCCCTGCGTCAGGTGGAGAAGATGCTCTCGGTCCACGAGGCTTCGTACCAGCAGGGCCTCCGCTCGCTCAGGAAGAAGATGAGCGCTCTGCACAACAGCACCATGTCCATCTTTAAAACCGGAGGTGAGAGGACGGAATAACAAAACACAGATATATAATGCGGTTCAAATGTTTAAAGGTCACCTATTGTGCAAAATCCACTTCTTCATGTCTCTTCTACATCAACATGTGTCCCCTCTTCTTCATGTCTCTTCTACATCAACATGTGTCCCCTCTTCTTCATGTCTCTTCTACATCAACATGTGTCCCCTCTTCTTCATGTCTCTTCTACATCAACATGTGTCCCCTCTTCTCCATGTCTCTTCTACATCAACATGTGTCCCCTCTTCTTCATGTCTCTTCTACATCAACATGTGTCCCCTCTTCTTCGTGTCTCTTCTACATCAACATGTGTCCCCTCTTCTTCGTGTCTCTTCTACATCAACATGTGTCCCCTCTTCTCCGTGTCTCTTCTACATCAACATGTGTCCCCTCTTCTTCGTGTCTCTTCTACATCAACATGTGTCCCCTCTTCTTCATGTCTCTTCTACATCAACATGTGTCCCCTCTTCTTCATGTCTCTTCTATATCAACATGTGTCCCCTCTTCTTCATGTCTCTTCTTCATCAACATGTGTCCCCTCTTCTTCATGTCTCTTCTACATCAACATGTGTCCCCTCTTCTTCATGTCTCTTCTATATCAACATGTGTCCCCTCTTCTTCATGTCTCTTCTACATCAACATGTGTCCCCTCTTCTCCATGTCTCTTCTACATCAACATGTGTCCCCTCTTCTTCATGTCTCTTGTACATCAACATGTGTCCCCTCTTCTTCATGTCTCTTCTACATCAACATATGTCCCCTCTTCTTCATGTCTCTTCTACATCAACATGTGTCCCCTCTTCTTCATGTCTCTTCTACATCAACATGTGTCCCCTCTTCTTCATGTCTCTTCTACATCAACATGTGTCCCCTCTTCTTCATGTCTCTTCTACATCAACATGTGTCCTCTCTTCTTCATGTCTCTTCTACATCAACATGTGTCCCCTCTTCTTCGTGTCTCTTCTACATCAACATGTGTCTCCTCTTCTTCATGTCTCTTCTACATCAACATGTGTCCCCTCTTCTTCGTGTCTCTTCTTCATCAACATGTGTCCCCTCTTCTTCGTGTCTCTTCTTCATCAACATGTGTCCCCTCTTCTTCGTGTCTCTTCTACATCAACATGTGTCCCCTCTTCTTCGTGTCTCTTCTTCATCAACATGTGTCCCCTCTTCTTCATGTCTCTTCTACATCAACATGTGTCCCCTCTTCTTCATGTCTCTTCTTCATCAACATGTGTCCCCTCTTCTTCATGTCTCTTCTACATCAACATGTGTCCCCTCTTCTTCATGTCTCTTCTACATCAACATGTGTCCCTCTTCTTCATGTCTCTTCTACATCAACATGTGTCCCCTCTATCCATGTCTCTTCTACATCAACATGTGTCCCCCTCTTCTTCATGTCTCTTCTACATCAACATGTGTCCCCTCTTCTTCATGTCTCTTCTACATCAACATGTGTCCCCTCTTCTTCATGTCTCTTCTACATCAACATGTGTCCCCTCTTCTTCATGTCTCTTCTACATCAACATGTGTCCCCTCTTCTCCATGTCTCTTCTACATCAACATGTGTCCCCTCTTCTTCATGTCTCTTCTACATCAACATGTGTCCCCTCTTCTTCATGTCTCTTCTACATCAACATGTGTCCCCTCTTCTTCATGTCTCTTCTACATCACATGTGTCCCCTCTTCTTCATGTCTCTTCTACATCAACATGTGTCCCCTCTTCTCCATGTCTCTTCTACATCAACATGTGTCCCCTCTTCTTCATGTCTCTTCTACATCAACATGTGTCCCCTCTTCTTCATGTCTCTTCTACATCAACATGTGATGTAGAAGTAAAAATACAGACATTTGGAATTTTTAAGGAATTTTCCGACCGTTTTCCAGACATTTCACATATTTTTTCAGTAATTGTTCTCATATTTTTAGGAAATGTTTTCCTTAATATTTTTAAATATTCTCACAAAATAGTTTCTGAAGCTAAATGTCTCTCTCTCTTGTTTCCAGCAACCTGCTCCAAACCAGAACTCCCCGCTAACGGGCGGAGACTGGGTCGGGTGTTTGGCATCGGACACGAGGTCCACTTCCTGTGCAAACCAAGCTACGAGCTGATTGGCCCGCGAACACGAGTGTGTCTGGACTCTCTGAGGTGGAGCGGACAGCAGCCCATGTGCAGACGTAAGACAATAACACACTGTAAAGTTTTACGAGTGGTTATAAAGTGACAGACCCTGAAGGCAGCATCTCCCTGGTTCCCTTCACAAAAAGCCAATGGGATTTCTCCATGTGATTTTGTATTATGTCAGATAATTATCTCTTTGTCAAACAAACGTTTATGATACTTACACGTTTAGTTAAGCAGGATAATCTCCACATATTAACACCACTTTATGATTTCTGAAGTAAAAAGCTAACGTATGGCTATAAAGGAACTACAGCACGGTCACATGACTTCACGTCTCCACCGCTAAGCTAAAGGTGGCTAATGTTGGGCTATAAAGGAACTACAGCACGGTCACATGACTTCACGTCACCACCGCTAAGCTAAAGGTGGCTAATGTTGGGCTATAAAGGAACTACAGCACAGTCACATGACTTCACATCAGCACCGCTAAGCTAAAGGAGGCTAATGTTGGGCTATAAAGGAACTACAGCACGGTCACATGACTTCACGTCACCACCGCTAAGCTAAAGGTGGCTAATGTTGGGCTATAAAGGAACTACCGCACGGTCACATGACTTCACGTCACCACCGCTAAGCTAAAGGTGGCTAATGTTGGGCTATAAAGGAACTACAGCACGGTCACATGACTTCACGTCACCACCGCTAAGCTAAAGGCGGCTAATGTTGGGCTATAAAGGAACTACAGCACGGTCACATGACTTCACGTCACCACCGCTAAGCTAAAGGTGGCTAATGTTGGGCTATAAAGGAACTACAGCACGGTCACATGACTTCACGTCACCACCGCTAAGCTAAAGGTGGCTAATGTTGGGCTATAAAGGAACTACAGCACGGTCACATGACTTCACGTCACCACCGCTAAGCTAAAGGTGGCTAATGTTGGGCTATAAAGGAACTACAGCACGGTCACATGACTTCACGTCACCACCGCTAAGCTAAAGGTGGCTAATGTTGGGCTATAAAGGAACTACAGCACGGTCACATGACTTCACGTCACCACCGCTAAGCTAAAGGGGGCTAATGTTGGCCGTGATGCTGTTTAGTTGTCTCATTTAGACACTTGTTAGCAAAATATTTTAATAAACATAAGTTAAGTAACAAATAACATGTATTTAAAGTTGTTTTTGTCTTAATAATGTTTGTTCTTTTTTTGTTTTCAGGTTTAAACGCCAGTGGAAACTCTCTGACCTCTTTCACTCCTGCTTCTCCTTCCTCCTTCCCTGTCTCTGCCGCTCTGTTTTCTTCCTCTCCCTCTCCCACCTCCTCTTCCTCTTCCTCATCCTCCTCTTCCGCCTCCTCCTCTTCCGCCTTACTATCTTTACCTCCTCCCTCCTCCTCCTCCTCCTCACCCATGTCCTCCCCCCCATCCTCTGTCCGTCCCTCTCACTGCACTCACTTCCTGGGCTCCACCCGCTGCACCTGTGACGTTGGATTCACCATTTCAGGCCGAGACAACAACATCTGCACAGGTGAGAAATACATCCAACGACTTTGTTTACTTCCGGAACACAGTGACATCACTACGTAACACCCACACTCTTATTTGCTAGCGCTCCAACACATTGTACGTGATAGGCTAAAGGGCGGGACGTCTTTAAGCGGTTGACCAATCACAACAGAGCCGGCCAGCTAACCAATCAGAGCAGACTGGGCTCTGGTTTCAGACAGAGGGTGAAAAGAGGTGCTGCATGTCAGTTTGGCTGCAATTTGTGGTATTCTTTGGTATATTTTAGTGGCTGTGCGTACTGTAGTTGTTCTGGATTTGTTTTAGTCTATGTATTTTATTTAATGTATTTTCTTATTTAGTGGAAATATTTGTGTATATATTTGTGGTAATTCCTGATGTTTTTGTGGTATTTTAGTTGAAGAATCAGTTGTATTTGTCAATGTCATTTTTTTCTACTTAAACTTTTGTCAGGTTTGATAAATTAAAATGTCTCTACAAACACAGTGCTTCTGTAATGTATTTGTACATTTATTTAGTGGAAGTATTTGTGTATATATTTGTAGCAGATGTATGCATGGTATTTTATTTGAAGAATTAGTTCGTCACACTTATCACATTACATCTGTTCCTTGTGCACACATGCATGTTACAAAACCAATGCTACTGTTTTACATACATATGAAATATTCCAAAGTACCTGTGTGTGTTTCAGTACTTTCTACTTCTTACATTTTCAAAACAGGTTTGTTACTTTAGTTTGAATCTGCGTTTCATTACATTTATTCGAGCACTTTTCCTGAATGCTCAAAGCGCTCTACATTACATATTAAACATATCAGACATGTAACAGTGAGTACAGAGAATTAGGGTGAAGTGCCCAAGGACACAAAATTATGGGTACTTTTTACTTAAAGATCAAATGCAAAGCTTTTTGTATAATTGCCAGTACAATCAAAATCATATAGCTACAACACTATCTAAGATATTGCAGTATTAAAATCGGAGATAATATGAGTCTGGCAATGCGCAATATTAATTTTGTTCAACCCCCAACACCAAGTCCGACGATTTATTTTCTCCACCGCTCCTCCGCAAGATGGCGGCGCGTGACGTCAGATGTGCCAAACATATTTCCACCTGGCTTATCAATCACAGCGGCTTCCGCCGATAGTACAACTAGTTTCGTCTATCATGTCTGATTCTGAGTAGACTATAGACTAAAAGCTTTAGGAATCCAAACTATAACATATAATAAGTACCCTGTATCAAGATTGATGCAAAACAAGTGAAATTTGACCTTTTTAGAGAGGTTTAGACAAATAAATCCCAGGCGGACTCACCTCACAAGGACGAGGTGGATGGGAATTTGTTCAATGCCTAACATATTTCCACCCGGCTTATCATGTCTGATTCTGAGTCGGAGGCCACCCAATATCTGGAGTATGTTGTCGACATCCAACCATATCTCTACGAGCCTCTGATGTCGAAGAGGAAATACAAGGAAACGTCACCTGATATCACCGATGAAAATGCTGATGGTGATGATTCAAGTTCGCCATCTGAGGAAGAGGCCGAGGGTGCTGAGAATTGGTGTAGATGTGGAAACTGCCAGACCATGCCTACAAGCTGAGAAAACAAGTGCTGCCACAACTATGGGAAAGTGAAGGAAGAGATGGGAGAAGAAGTCTGCATCACCGACTGTAGGACGTTCGACATTTTCCGTTATGAGTGGAGGAGCGATGAATGAGCTGCAGATAAACTACAATGCTAACAGTGAATTAGCCCCGAGCGAAAAATGCTAACCTATCACTCCTAGCGCCCTTATTACTTATCCTAGCTCCACATCCAACACATTGTTTATGATCGTAAAGACACAGAATCTAACGGTGCCCACCTCTATAAGCAATCAAACTTAAATTCCGTTATCTGCGTTATCTGCTGTGCTCCGTGCGCTTTGAAATCTAATCAAAAGTTGTTTACCTCAATTCTTTGTCGTTTCTGCATCGCCCGGCTCTTTCGTTCTTTCAGTGGTTTCTTGTGCTGAAATATGGAGGGGACGGCTCCGGGTTTCAGCCTCCGACGTGCTATTAATGCTTCTCCACCAACAGACTTCATGATAGCAGGATCAACGTCGTATGCATCACACGCAAAGTGGTCAGAACACAACTTGCTCCATTTTGTCGGTTGCCATCCAACACGATTCACTAACAAAATCCATTTTTTGCGGATGATTTGGTCTTTGGGAAATGCATGCAAAACTCTCCCAGATCCCGCACCGTTCGTACAACAAAAAGCTCAACAATAACCCATGTTAATTCAGTTTTCTTTTCGAAAAACATGTGACCGAGACTGCCGAGTCGGGATGTTTGGTCCAGAGACTGTTTGGCCACTATTACGTCACGCGCGCGGAGGCTGCTGGGAATTACATGTCAGAAATTCAGACGGCTTTGGGTCGAGTTTTGGATCAATAAAAAGCTTTTTTTTGGGTGTATTCTCTCGATTTAAATAAAATAAAAAAATACAGGCAGTCTTAAAAACAACATTTCTATAAAAATGTAGCATATTTGGAAGCTTTGCATTTGATCTTTAAGTACATTTCGAGAGACCATACTTCTTTACTTTTACTTGAGTAAAGAAGTTTAGTCAGTACTTCTACTTTGACCAGAGTATCTGTACTTCTGTAAAGGATGTGTGTACTTGTACCAATGCTTCTGTTTCACATCCATATGGAATAATCTAACTTCTGTGAACCTGTGTGTGTTCCAGACATCGACGAGTGCCTCCTGTTCCCCCTGGCTCAGCCCGGCCGGCTGTGTGTGCATCAGTGTGTGAACACGCCCGGCAGCTTCCACTGCTTCTGCCCCGCCGGGTACGACCTGTCCAGAGATGCTCGCAGCTGCACAGGTCAGAGGTCAAAGGTCACCCCGGGGGTCACAGAAGTGATAAGTGTGTCTGTAGTCTCTCAGCTGAATGAGGCTGAAGGTGGAGGGAAAACAGTGGCAAGCGTCCGGACGAAATGTCCCTTAAAGGTCCCCTATTATACTGTTTCTCATCAATATATCACAGGTCTCAGATATATACAGAACCTGTCTCTGATTGGCTGAAACACCAAACAGATCATTGCAGAATTACCCATAATCCCCTCTGTTTCAGCCCTGTTTCCAAAGTGCTGATTCTCTGTCTGTTACTTTAGATGAAAATAAGGAGCCCCTCCCCACGCCCCTCTGAGAGACATTTGGTTACAAAGAACTCAATAGGCACTTTCACACCAATTACTTTTCCCAGGAATAGTTCCCGGACCTTAGTTCCCCGGAAGTCTTTAGTTCCGGAACTGTCCAAGTAAATCATGTTCACACCGGAATAAGTTCCCTGACGTCACTTCTTCTTCTTCTGCTTTGGGTTTACTGGCAGGCCGCAAACAACTTCACGGCGTATACTGCCACCCAAAGTCCCCGGCCGGAAGTCCCCGGAGTTGGGGACTGGCTTCAGTAGAAGCTGCTGGGACTCCCAGCAGCTTCTACTGAAGCCTTCCGAGTAAATTGGTGCTCTAGGAGGAGATTCAGGTGATAAGGTAGGAGTGGGTGGGGGGGGGGGGGTACTTCTAACCTACTCAGTAGCACACAACGTATTTAAACTCTGCTTCATAATGACGAATTACAACATAAAAAAGTATTTGTGATAAAAACTGAATATTATACTGTAATATTATATAAAAAAACACAACCAGTTTGAAAGACTCAATCTGCATAATGAGTACTTTTTGTACATTTAGCTGATTATACTTCAATTCTTAAGCATATAACATTACTATTACTAATACTTTAACATGTAATGGAGTATTTTTAAGACTGTGGTGTTACTACTTTTCCCTCAGAGTACTTTTTTTGTTTATTTGTTTCTAAAACGCCTCTCTTTCCCTCTCCTCAGACGTGGACGAGTGTGAGAACCGGATGCACAACTGCTCAGCAGACCAGGTGTGTGTGAACACTTTCGGAGGTTTCCAGTGTGTGAAGGTGGAGTGTCCTCAAATGAAGAACGCCACGTACATCAAGACGTCATCGATGTAAGAATCACAACTTTTAATTTCCATTCAACACACCACTCCTGAAGGATGGCTTCATTATTTGATCAAGGGTTAGGAGGTGTTAAAACACACGTGAACATTGTGGAGTTTCAATATGAGCTTGATAGTACCTGATAGTACACACTCTTCTTGTGCGTTCACACCTGCCTTGTATAGTCCGGTTGAATCGAACCCTGGTGCGTTTAGCCGCTTGGTGCGGTTCATTTGGGTCGGTGTGAACGCAGTCCGAGACCTCTGAAGTGAACTAAACAACCGGACTCTGGTCCGCTTAAATAGGTGGTCTCGGAACGCTTGCTAGTGAACTCTGGAGCGGTTCATTGCTGGTGTGAACGCAGTCCAACCAAAACATAAGAAGCGTAATATTTACGCATCACAAGAACGCGGATATCTTCAAAATCTTTAGCGAAAGAGTCTTTCAAGACATCCGCGGTTGTTTAGTTAAAGAGTGAAGCAGGATGAAGAGTTGAACAGTGGCGTGTAAAGTAAAAATTCTCCGTCAGCTACATAAAAGTAAGAACACCTGTCTTCGGTGAAACGCCCTCCTGACTGCAGAAAGTCTCTCATTATATGTGTTATAAGTAAGGGATAATGTGCAGCGAGGCGGTCATTATGGGGGAAAGAACACCCGACAGGCAGATCAGGATCCCGACGCGTAGCGGACGTTGTCTGATTATATAATCATATGCGCGGGCCGCTAGTGTCTGTTGATCTCCAGATTAACAGCAGCATGAGAATAACCTGCTGAAAGTGCCGATGCTCCATTCCGGAGGCTCCGGTAGAAATTGCTGGGATTTGCGTTTTTACCCCCTTAATGTCTGACCAATGGGTGAACAGCATTTCCGTGCACATGACTTGTGTTTCAAAGTTTATAGTCCGTTTGAGTTTTCCCGTGCAAACCGAACCTTCTGAAAAATGAAACAATGCAACAAACTGTCGTCTGGTGCGCACCAGAGAACGGACTGTTAGGTGTGAATGCGACCTTAAGACTCTTCAAGGTGGGAGTACATACATGAAACAAGGAAAAACAATCACTTGTGAATTTATGATTAGTATCTTCTATCTTCTATAGAAAGACAATGCAAACCAGCAAGAGTTTAAAGAGCAATATTGGAAAAATGTAAGCCTGCAAATAACCGAAAGGTACGGTAGCCGACAGGCAGGGGCGCCGCTTGTGAACAGGCAAGGAAGGCAACTGCTTGGGGCCCCGGACCAGAAGGGGGCCCCCAAAGAAGGTCCACAGCTACGACAACATGAAACACCCTTTAATTTACTGCAACGACATGTCGGGAAACCCCCTCAAGGCC